GTGGATGCTAATGGACAAGACTTCAGCATCCTGAGCAGCTAAGCCTGCCCAGCCTGTTTTTGTAAGATGAGGTCATGAAGATCTTTCCCACACCCCTCCTATAGAAAGCTGAGGTCAGAAACCAAAAAAAAAAAAAAAACAAAAAAACCAAACAAACAAACAACAAAAAAATTAAAAATCAAAACCTACAAATGCTTCAGGCTCTGAAGGGGTAGCTTAGCACATCTATGAACACTCAACACCTGAACCAGAGATCCAAGTAAAAGAGAAGAGCATTCCAGGCATTCTGCACACAGTGACCAGCAGGTTGGCTGGGGGCTGACACACAACCCATGTGGAAAGCTGAGAGGACAAAGCTGTTCTGGCCAGGTCCATGCTGTGTGTGGAGTATCAGAGAGGTTTCACGCACAGCTCAGAGTAAACAGGCAAACAAGTGGCAGCCAGAAATGTTAATATTTGCAAAAAATCTCCTGGTTTTGGCGCCTGGGTGTGGGGAGATGAAGGATGTTGGTGGAATGCAAACATGATGGATTCTTGGCTGCCCAGAGGGTGGCATGGGGAATCTCACAGGGCAGGACAGACTGCCTGACAGGCCTGCCCCCTCCCTGGAGAGGGAGACTGGGCTGAAAAGTTCAGTAGCACATAAAACTGGTCCCCTGGGATTGAGTTATTTGAACATCCCTGGGAAAAACAAACAAAACAAACCATGTTCATCCTTCTTTGCTTGTTTCAGACATTGTTTCCCTCCCTCCATGTAGTAGGAGATGGATTTGTCCATGCTGATCCCCAACACTTCTCCTGGATACATAAGGGGGAAAAATGACACAAGGCTTCAGACTCCTGCCCTCACCTCACCTGGGTCCTTTCATGGTGTGTTTAGGATGGTTTGAACCTGCCCAACACCATCTCTACAGGGCTTTTACCTGGACCATGGCTGCCAGTTCACAGTCAGACAACTTCAGAGGCTCCACAGCCTTGAAGGCTCTGGCTTTAGCGAAACAGCAATATCATTTGAGACTGGGAAGAAAATATTGGCAAATAATGGCTACCTCTGGTCACCTTCCTCCTGCAGCTATTTATCCAAAGATACCATATCTCGGAGCATTGCTTCATTTCCTGCTTGCCTCTCTAACTGAGGCCTCTAAATCACATCGCTGCAGCTGAGGTCACGGAGGGAAGTGTAATATCCATTAGCAGTGATGGCGCTATTACTTTGATTTACCTTGTCCCTTTTTCTTTTACTCTTTTCTTTCTGTTTACAGCAATCCCTTTCCACTTCTTTCCCCTCCTGCTCTCAGTGCAGCAAACAGCTGGCAGGAGCCTGCAGAAGCAAAGCTTCCTGGGAGGCAGCCTGCTTTTGGGGACATGGGGGGTCTGGGGATTTCTCCTGGACCAGCAGCACCCCATTCCTTCCTGACCAGCGATGCCAAGGGCAGTGGGAAGGGCTGGCTTCAAGCTACCCCATCCTCACCCCAAGAGTCCTTCACCTGAGGCTTGTCCAGGTCAACACATGGAAAAAATCAACCCCAATTTACCCCTCTGTCCCTCTCCTGCTCCACAGCTGGGCACTGCTCAGGGAGAGCCACAGGATCCTCCAGGAGAGTGGGATCCAGAGGAATCACAGTTCTCAGAGTGTATTTGCACTTAAACCAATATGAAACAGGAAAATCAAAATGCAAAGCTTCTTGTCTCCTGTGGAATTTCCCTGCCTGCATCTGGAGAGCCGACACAAGTGACTGACACTGGGATCAGAGGTTGCTTCCCCTTCCCCTCATGTTTCACTGACACCCAGGGAAGCTCCCCAGCAGCCAGACCCACTGCACTTCCCACTTCATCCCCCTCCTCCAGCAAGGCCAAACAGCTCCTCTGACTCCATCTCCAAGAATACATATTTACTGCATGGGACAGAGAACGGTGAAGAGTTTTGGACCCCATCCATGTGGTTTGAGCCAAACCCTTCTCAATCCATCTTATCCTTCACCTCCCCAGTGCATAATCAAATTCTCCAAACACAGCGTTCTCAGGTCCCAGCCCAGAGCTTGGAGCCTCCCAAGAGGGATATGCTAAAAAAAGAAAGAAAAACATTACATTGCCAACTGAAGTGAGTGCTGAAAGGAAGGAGATGCCAGGAGCACTTAAACAGGAATCCGAGACCGGGGGACGCTCGGGTGTGTGTTTTCAATCCCCAGAAGGGAGACGTGTTCATTGGGAAATGACTGCCACTCACTGCTAGTTTTAGACCTTGTAGTTGATGTCCCAGAACGTGAAATGGCCATGACAAGGACATCCCCATCTGTATTAGAACTTTCTTCTTGGATGGATGGATTAGTGCAGCGCATGGTAAAATGGTGCCACTCCTCCTTTGGCTCCAAAATCTGCATTGCAGCTCAAACCTGCAAAAATGGAAATAAGCAATTTTACATGAGTGACAGGTTCTGTTGGCAGCAAGGGGAGTTATATGGGAAAGCCTTTACATCGGGGGTCCAGGTTGGGTGCTGGTGCTGAAGGATGTCCTGCAGCAGCTGAACCCAAGCCGGCAGCTCCACACCCTGGTGCAAAGCATCTCTTCCAAAAGAGCAGCCTCCCATAACCCCAGTCCTGGGCAGAGGATGTGCTGGCACTGCCCAGTCTGGTGCCATGCCAGGGAGGTGCTCCTGCTCTCCACACTGCACAGAGGGACCAGGACTAGGCTCCAGTTGGGGCTGAAAGGGGAGCTAATGGGGAAGTTCAACATCAGCTGAGCTATCCCAAATTCTGCTGTTTCAGGGTGAAGCTTCAGTTATCCTGCTACAGCCTCTCCAAACAATGGGCCTACAGGTGCCCCTGGGAGGCTGTAACCTCCTAGGCTCCATAACAGGGAGAGATGAGCTCTGACCACAGCACAGATTCTCATTCATAGGGCACCTCCCAGCACTGTTGGCTTGGGCTGCTGGCAGAGCATAACCTTCCACAGCACAGTCCAGATCTCTGCTAAAAAGCAATTATTGATGCTTTTACCTCTCTGCAGAGCCTCACATAAAAAGGATCATGGTACTGCAGCAGATGAGGGAGCACCATCCTGGTTCACCCTAGGCTGTGTGTCCTGTGCTGGAGTCTTGTTTGTGTGTCTGTGCATAGTTTATAAGGTCTCCTGGAGGAACAGTGGCAAAGCCAGGAGGACACAGATGACAAAGCCATGTCCCTCTCAAAAGGATGCACCTAAGCAGATGATTCAGCTCCCATCCAAAATCCACGAGTTCAAAGCCAGCTGTTTCTCTGGATTGCTGGCACATGGCAGGAGGGTGGGAAGTAACATCAGCTGCAGTCCCACTGCAATGGGCTGGCACTGGCACTGCTCCCGTTCAGCCCTGGCATGTTCACAGGGTGAGAGCCAGCCTAGCAAGCACTGAGATCTAAATGTAGGGACTGAGGTTTTGCTGCATGAAGTCACAGCTGAGAGATGTTCAGGCATCCCTGGATCCCAGTGTCATAATCCTAGCAATGTTCCCAGGGGCACTCTTCTGTGTCATGCAGTAGAAATGATAAAAGGGCAGCAATGGGAGCAGGTTCAGCCCGCTGGAAATAATCCTGCCCAATGTGTTCTTGTCCCCCGGTGCCCAGTGAGCAGTGGGGACTGAGCATCCCTGTCCTAGAGCCACCATGGGTCCTGGAGCAGGAGAGTGCAGCCAACCCACCTTGCTCAGAGAGCTGGAGCAGTCCTGAGCCCCCACAATAGCTGTGTGGGAGCTGCCAGCCCATTTGGCCATGGCCTGACCTTGTTGGTGTCCATGCTTGTCCAACCACAGGCCAAGGGGTGTACCTGGCTTGCCCATGGCCAGCATCCCCCAGGACTGATTGCTCCTCGTGCATGCAGTGATGTTCCAAGTCCAAACATCAGCATGGGGCTGTGGCTGAGCGTGTCAGCCCGAGGAGCTGCTGGGGACAAGGCAGAGGCTGCAGGCAGGGCTGCTGTGGCCACATGCCAGCGACCAAGCACGCACAGTGTGAGAGAAAGCCTGGGAAAATCCATCAGACAAGCAAATGAAGATGGGCAGAAATACTTTCTGCACTAATTGCACTGCTGTAATGAGAAGACAGAGCACCAGGAGGAGGAGGGGCAGTAGCTGGACAGTGCCTGGCACATCAGCCTTTTGGGGGCATGCTCTGGTTCTAATGGTGGTTAGGAAGGACACAGGTGGTCTGTGCAGCTCTTCTAAGTCCCTGTGTCCCCTCTCCTTTCAGTTTTATTTGCTTTCACTTCCAGAGTTGAAAGTTCTTGTGATTTTTCTCACATGTCCACCAGTGTCTGCCACTTCCCAGAGCATCGCAGGGCTCATCATCAGGTGACCACACGAGGATGAAAACCCTTCCTTCTTTCTTTCCCTAACGAGCCCGCAGTCCGCGTGATTTCTGAAGTAACCCAAAGCCTTGGCCAGAGCTGTGTCCTGAAGGCACCGTGAGCAGGGCAGAGGGAGGGAGGCTTGGGCCTGGAGCTCATTTCTGGGCTCGGTATTGAATGCGGCAGCGGGGCGGTGCAGGGGCGGTGCAGGGCAGTGTACGGCCAGGGCAGGGGAGGTGCGGAGGCAGTAAGGGGGCAGCAAAGGGGCAGCAAAGGGACAGTGCAGGGACAGGACAGTCCGACCCAGTCCGATCCGACCCGATCCATTCCGATCCGATCCAGTCCGGCCCAGCCCCGCACGCACCTCCCCGCAGCTGGCCCGGCGCGCTCGCACGTGACCGCATCACATGCAGGGACTCTGCCCCGCCCCCTCCACGGGATCCCACCCAATGAGCTGGCGGGCACGCGGCGTGTCCGCGCTGTGATTGGTCAGGGTGGACGTCAATCCGCGGAAGGGGCGGGGCGTGGCGGAGGTCCCGGGTTCGGGGTGTCGGAGGTGGGAGAGCGACGGGACGGGACTGGACTGTGCTGGACTGGAGCAGAGTGGACTAGGTCAGACCGGACCGAACCGAGCCGAACCGAGCCGAACTGACCTGACCTAAGCCGTTTCAGCACGGTGGGGTCCCCGGGGTGGCGGGAGGCCGGGCTGCGGTCAGGGAGCGGGCGGTGCGCGCCGCGGGACTCGAGCCGCGGGGGCGCCGCACACGCAGCGGCGGTGCCGCACCGGCCCGGGAGCCCCTCCGAGTGCGGGTGGGTGCTCGGGCAGGGTGACCGCTGCGTTGGGGCCCGGTGGGGACACAAGGCTGGGCCCTGTCAGAGCACTAAGCAGTTTTGGTGAAGTGTCGGGAAATTGAAAATTGTTCCTCCAAAGGGAGTGACCTTCGGCCAGAGCTGCTCTGTAATTCGGGGCTTTCCAGCCCTGCACACACCCTGTGTAGCAGCTGGACAGGCCCGGTGCCTCCCGCCCGAGGTCAGGTAACCAAGCCCTGCCCCAGACCGGCAGAGGGATGGGTTTTGTGTGCGGTGCTGGCAGGAAGCTCAGGAAGCATCCCTGTGTGCCCGCAGGGATGGCCGGCGGCAGCCAGGACCGCAGCCTGCGGGAGGAGCTGACCTGTGCCATCTGCTGCGAGCTGTTCAGCGAGCCCGTCATGCTGGACTGCATGCACCACTTCTGCAAGGGCTGCATCCAGCAGTACTGGGACAGCTGCGCCCAGGGCCCCTCCTGCCCGCAGTGCCGCCGCAGGTTCCCCGGCCGCGCTTTCCGCACGCACTACCTGCTCTCGGGGCTGGTGGACAAGGTGCGGCGCTGCGGCTCCCAGGAGCACCAGCACAAGATGCGGGTGAGTGGCTTCTGCCAGGCTGGGGAGAGGGGGACAGGTGCCACATGAGCCCTGTGCAGCCACCACTCCTGCCACAGGCAGTTCCTCCTGCGTGAAGCCTTATCTCACCCGAGTGCACTGACATTTGTGTCTCTTTTCTCTCCCTATTTCCTTACAGCCCTCTGTCTTTTGAACACTTTTCTTGTGCATTTTTTTCCCTCACTGCTGTGTCTGATTCCAACCACAGCTTTGTCATTTCTCGTTTAAGAATGTGGTTCCTAAGTGAGAGGGGGGTGAGGGCTGCTTGTGCCAGGTGCTCTGCTTGAGGGGACAGTCCCTTCACAACATGCAGCATTTAAAGCTTGTGCAAACAGATATCCCAGGATGGAGCTCCCAGTCTTAAAAATCAATTGGATTCATCACATGCACAGATGCTTAATTCTCAAGGCTGTGCATCAGGTGCTTGCTTCTTCTTACAACCTTTATATGAGATCCTGTTGTATTCTCCTCCTTATGCTGACCAGAGGAATTGGGACTGCTCCTGAATCAGCAGAGTGCTGAAATGGCCTCTTTACCTTCTTTTCCTTGTTCTTGCAGAAGCACCTGGAAGATGCTTTGCAAGCTCGTCAGAAGGAGATGGAGAAGTTGCTGCAGAGGAAGCGCGTGGTGCAGGAGGACATCTGCAGCCTGACGGTAGCACCCTGTGGGAGCTGCTCTTCAGGCAGCTTCTGGGGCAGTGTACACAGAGGATGTGTGTGTCTTCAGCTGAGGTCTAGCTCAGCTTCCTGTACAAATCTAGATGAGTTACAGTGGGGATCTACACAAACCCCCTTGCATGTAGGCACAAGCTCATAACTGCTGGATGTTCAGCAGAGGTTTTGGGAGGAGCATCAGCACTCATTAATGCAATGTTTACAAAGTGCATTGGTGCAGCAGAGCTGAGGCATGGTGAGTGGTGAGAGCCGTGGGCAGCCTGCTCTGGCCCTGCAGAGCTGCCTTTTGGGGAGAGCATTTAACTCCTGGCAGCTCTAAAATCCTCTCTTGTCAGAAGGGATGGCAGCAAAGCTGAAGGAACTGGGTCACTGGCAGGGTTGGCACTGCAAGAGTGGTGGCCTTGTCACAAGGACGGTATTGGGATTCACTGCAAAGCTCCGAGGTGAATGAGGAACCTGAGTGCTCTCCATGGGCTTGAGAGGGACCAAGGTCCCTCTAGGTACAGATCTGTGAGGTGAAAACAGCCACAGGCTGACTGTGCTGGTTTCTTGAGTGGCATAAAAGTGTTAAAACCAAGGAAGGGGAGTTAAAGGAAAATGAAAGTAGTTCAAAGATGAGATAAAACTGAGAGGGGGAAAAAGCCCTGTCTTCTGACTGGAGCCTCTGACCCCCCAGCCTGCTCCATTTCAAACTTCTGTCCTCTTGCCAGATGTGGAATAGACCTCGGAGATTAATGAAGAAGTATTAGCAAATAAAAGCACGTGTTTTCCTGTTGCTGTGCAAGAGCCGAGAGGTGTCTCAAGAGTAAAGGAACAAACCACTGATGTGAACAGGGAGGCCCTGCACCTCCTCTGTGGTTCTGGTGTGTCAGCACAAACACCTGCTAGAGCAAGAAGAGGGTGGTGAAGCTTCAGATCTCTGAGGGACATGGGTTTCCTGTGAGGAGAAAGGGATGTGCACTTCAGGAAGCACTCCTCGAGAAAGTAATGAGGGCTAAGGTTGCACTTGGAGATTAAAAGCTTAAAGATTTAAGGAAAACAAAAAGTCATTGGCTGTCTCTTGTAAACAGGCAGGAAGGCAGTGAGAGCACGGCAAGGTTGGCTGGCAAGTAAACAACTGGGAAAAAGTGACCTCTGGTTAGAGCTGAATGGGATTTTATCAGCCTTAATGACAGAGATTAGTTTGTGCAGCTTGCCTGTCAGGCAGCTCTGCTCGGGGCCTGGAACAATGTGAAATAAATGCAGGCTAACCTGAACAGCTGAGTCTGCAGCTCCACAAAATTTAAAGAGCTCCAGTCTTGCCCACAGGCGAATTCCTGGTGGTGTGGGAGAGGGCTGTGGCTGTGTGTGGGGATTTCTAGTTACAGTGACCAGGCCTTTGGTGGAGCTGGCTTTTTGGGTTTGTTGGTTTTTCCCCTTTAGCTCTGCAGCCTTGAAGGTTGTCCTTGTGTCCTGTTGTCCATCCAAAAAGTCATTGCTATGTCTGAACCTCAAATTTCCAGGGCTCTGTAAGCAGAGTAACAGGCACAGCCATGCTGTGCATCTACTTGTGTGTTCTAGCTGTTGGACTCACCTTCTGCCTCTTCCCTCTGCTCAGAAGGTGTCTGGGGAGCTGAACTTCAAGATTCGGGCTGAGTTTGCTCGCCTTCATCAGATCCTGGAGGAAGAGGAGAGAGCTGTGCTGGCAGAGCTGGGTGAGAAGGAGGAGCAGACACTGGCCCAGCTGCACAGGCACATTGGCCAGCTGGAAGAGGGGATGGCAGTGCTGCAGAGAGACATCGAGCACGTCAAGCAGACCCTGAGCAAAATGGAAGATGTGTCACTGCTGGAGGTAAGATGCTTTGCTGACTCTGGCAGGAGGCTGAGAGATATTTCAGGATCTCAAATTGGGATGGGGGAGTCTTAAATGAGAGCACCAGGCTGTACCGCAAAGTTGTTCTCCCTGCCATCCCTCTGGATTATCTACCCAATCCCTTGGATCTGGAGACTTTAGGCACAAGAGATACAGTGACATCAGTTGTAGTGGGTCTTGGGAGCCTTCCTCATTCTCCATCCAAGTACCCAAGCAGTTTTCCCTAGGCTGCAGTTCCTGGTAGCTTGGTTTCCTCTCTCTGTGCTGTGTGGCATCAGGAAGTGGACAAGGAACTTATTTGTGCAGCTGCATGAATTAGAGTGACTGCTAATTCTCTCTGCTTCTCACTGCAGGTGGAGAGCCTGGATATCAGGTACGTGTCTGGCATGAAAGAAGCTGATTTGCTTTTCAGGAGCTTATCTTAGTCTCTGGCTGGGACCACATGGGAGACACACTTTATCTCAAGCTTTAAAAGCATCACAAATTGCTCAGGAAGTTGCTGGTGCTGTGCAAGGTGGAGGCTGGTCCCCAGCACACACTGGATGCTCTTCCCAGGGAGCATCCCATGTGTTGACATGACTGGAAGAGTGGGTAGAGGAGACAGACAGTGGTTTGGAATGGGTGCAAGAGCCATGCATGCTGCAAGAGGGAACAGACTTTGGGTGCTTCATCTTCTCCCTGCCCCTCCTCAGCTTCTTACTACTCATGAGGCTGCAGAAGTGACCCTGAGGTGCAGGTTTGTCTGAGGCTGGGAGTAGTTGAGGGCCAGAACTGCTACAGGGATGTGTGTCCGTGTCCCCTTCCTCCCTGGCATGCAGCCTGACTCCACAGGCCCGGCCTGTTTGGCTATGCAGGAATCCTGTTGGGTGTGCTGGGTGTGGGTTTGCCAGGAGTCACTGCTGCACAAACAGTGCTGCTGCCTCTGTCTTGGGCACCTCTGTCCTGAGCCACTCACTGCACTGGGGGCAGAGCTGCATCAGGCAGGGCAAGCAGTGACATTTGTGTCCTGTCTTTACCAAATCTGTCACATGCAGCACTGTCCTGCAGCCCTGCTTGTGCTTTTCCTGCCTGCACTGGCAGTGGCTCAGCAGAAGGATTGACCCTGCCTGCCTCTCTCCACCCCAGGCCCTTGGTGCGTGTGGAGACCAAGCCTGCCCTGGACCTGCAGCACTACAGGGACAGCCACAGTGGTCCCTTGCAGTACATCTTCTGGAGGCAGATGCTGCGCTCCATCTGCCCTGGTGAGCACATCGCTGTGAGGGATGGATGTGGTGGGCCAGGGATGCTCTGCAGAGGGAGCGTACAGCTGCTAAAATGTCGTGCTTGATGTTTCCACAGCTCCTGCCCCACTCACCTTTGACCCTGAGTCAGCCCACCCCAACCTGGTCCTCTCCAGAGATCTGACAGCAGTGACAGAGAGGAATCGAGCCCAGCCCGTGCCCGTCAGCCCTCGGCGCTTCCGCCAGTGCGTCAACGTCCTGGGCTCACAGGCCTTCGACAGCGGCCGGCACTACTGGGAGGTCTGGGTGGGCAGCAAAACCAAGTGGGACCTGGGGGTGGCTGCTGAGGCTGTGGACAGGGCAGCCAAGGTCAAGCTGTGCCCAGAGAACGGCTACTGGACGCTGCGCCTGCGGAACAGGACAGAGTACTGGGCCACTGCCAGCCCCTGGGTGCGCCTGGCTCCCCGCCGGCCCCCTCGGAAAGTGGGCGTCTTCCTGGACTGCCAGGAGCGCTCCGTCAGCTTCTTTGATGCTGGGGACATGTCCCACCTCTTCACCTTCCACCAGGTCTCTGCAGAGAGATACTGCCCCTTCTTCAGCACCTGCTTCAGTGACGGGAGGGACAACGTGGAGCCCATGCGCCTCTGTCACCTGGCCCTGTGAGGGACCGGGGTGCGCTGGGGACACCGGCCTGGCTCCGAGCTGAGGGGTGTTGAGCTGTTTTGGTTTCAGTTTTGGGAGGAAGGAAGGGATGAGTCTCATCCCAGGTCCTGTCTGCCCTCCCTTCCCTGTGCCATGGCTGTGGTTGCCACAAGGCACTGACAGGGGTTCCTGGCACCCATAGAAGAGCAACCTGCCTTCCCTGAGCACGGCATAGTGCAGTAACAGCAGCCACGGGGCTGCAGGGGAGGGGGCTGTGAGTTGCTGGCACCTCCTGCCTTTCTGTGCCCACCCGTAAGCCCCGTGGAGCAGGGCAGCGGTCCCGGGGCACCATCGGGTGCCTCTCAGCGCCACATCCCGGCCATGGCATCCCCTGCGGGAAGAGCTTCCCGGGGCTGGGCTGCGGGCCGGCAGCACAGGGAGCCCGGGGCACAGCCCAGGGACTGCAGCACGGCTCCCTCACCTCGCTCGCTATTAAAGCTCTTTAGAAATTCAGTGGTGCCTGCTCGGGGCTTGTGTGCTGGGGGGTTCTGCTGCTCTGGGGTGTGGCACAGCCCAGGGGCACCGAGCAGCCCCCCAGAGCCCTGCTCCAGCCCTGGCTCTGCTGTGCCTGCAGCACAGGAGGCTTGAAGGAGCCACTGCTCCCATATGGTTCCTTGGAGTGCTCCCTGCTCATCTTGCAGTGGATTTTCATCATTTGCTGTTTGAGAACAAGAGAAAGAGGCTCTGAGCCTAGCCCTGATCTTGGGCTACCACATTTTAAGATTTGGCCATGTCTGGCCTGGCTGGGTGTTAAGGATCTGTACATGTGAAAAATGCCAAGTCCCAATTCTTTCCAAATTCAGCAGGAATGTGGCTCTTTTCCTGTCAGCCCCCTGTGGCCCTGCTGGCAGTGGTGCACCTGCAGGAGGGCAGGCAGGGTCCCTGGGGGGCAAGTCAAGGGGGTTTGGCTGCTGTGGTTTGTGACCAGGAGGTGCTGAAGTGTCTCTGCCTCATGATTCAGCAGAGGTGCTGGGATGGCTCCAAGCCTGGCTGGTGGAAGTGGTGGGTGGGAGGGAGGATGGCAGCGTCTGGGGTGGGTGGAAATGTCATGTTTTTCCCACCCAAATCCATTCCAAGCTCAAAGCAGAGGCCAAAGCTCTCCAATACTGCGCAGTCCCCAGTGCTGGCTGGAGGCAGACACCTCCAGCAGAGGCTCAGCTTTCTGCGGCATGGCTGGGCTGGGTGTGAGGCTTTCCAGCTCCCACAGCTGGACACAGGACATTTGCCAAAGCAAGGCCTTCACTGGCCATCTGCCTGCCCAGTGGGGATGGCACAGGGGCCCTGTTCCCCTGTGGTGCCACAAGGGTGGTTACCTCTCCTGCACACCCCTGCTGCAGTGTGCCAGGGCTGAGGGTGCCTAAAGCCTGTGCCAGGGCAGCAGAGGAAGCCAGAGGCAAGGATGTCCTGTGCAGGGTTCAGGCAGATGTGTCCCAGGAGCGCTGAGCACAGCCCAGGGCTGCTCCCACTGCCTGGCAAGCCTCTGCTCTGTGCAGCCTTGCTCGGGGTTGGGTGTAGGAGGGGTGCTGGGGGTTTGTGCTCCCTCCTGGCCCCGGGCTGGCCTTTAGCCAGCGAGTGCTGAGCCCATAAGCTGGACTCAGCCTCCTCTCCCAGCCCTCATCTCCTCTTGCTGCCCCACAGCCTCAGCTGCAGTAAGAGTGGAGAAGACAGAGCTGTCGGCTTGGAAATGGTGCTGCAAGCAGGGCTGTGGTACCCCCTGCAAGAGCGCCTCTGGAAAGGCGAGGCTGGTTTGGTCACAGCAGGGAGTTACACTGGGGAAAGCTGAAACCCATCAGCTCCCCAGCCCGCCCCAAACTGCGGCCAGGCCTGGCTGGGCAGCACAGCAGTGTCCCCGAGGTGTGAGGGGACGCGGATGCGCCGGGCAGCAGCGGGGTGAGCACAGCCAGGCTTTGCTGTCTGCCAGCTCCCGCTGCCCAGCTGCTGTGTGCCCTGTGCCACGTGGGCTAGTGTGATGGCACAGGCTGCCAGCGTGTGCCACTGCCTCCCACACCCTCCCCGAGCTGGGGAGCAGCCAAACCTGCTTGTCCCAAATGTTCCTGAGGGAGCACGTCCTTTCTTCTCCTGCTGGGCTGTGCGTTGTGGCTGTGGCAGAGCCACATTTTGGGGTATAATGTCCTCGCCTGGCCCTGCTGGCAGGACAGGGCTGGAGAGGCAGAGCAGCTCCTACATACAGGGGAAATGCTGCTCTGGACTGCCATGCGTGCAGTGTTAGCCCAGTGAGGAAATGCAGTCTAGGTGCTGCCTGAAAAACACATTTTTCTGAGCAAACCAGAGCACCGTGGAGCAGGAACTATAGGCATGAATGCAGAATGCTACCTGAGCTTGGCCTGGGTTCAGGCAGAAGGGGATAGGGATGGGGAGTGGAATGATGGTTAAAGCACCTCTCACCCCAGCATCCAGACTCTGCACCTGCCAGAACTGGCTCTCACCATCTTCTCCCAGGTCCAGGCTGTATTCTTCTTGTGGGTTACCTCATTGTTTTGTCCCTGGATGTTCCCACCCCAGTGTCCCTTTCCCCTCGTTATGCTAGGGCTGGGCAGTGTCCAGCAGCTCCTGCCTTGGCAGCCTTCTGTGATCTGTGGATGTCTTTATCCAGTGCTTTGGGGAAGCCTTTGCTTCCTCGGGTCCCCCCACGTGCTGGAATGGGGACAAGATTTTAAAACAAGATCCTTTTGTTTCCCAGGACCGCAACAATGGAAAGGTCCCATCGGTCCCACAGTCGCCCTGCGTTTGTGATGGAAAATTCCCCGCCTGGCGGGGCGAGCCGTGCCGGTGTCCTGCCATGACTGCCGTTAGATGGCAGCATGGACGGGCCGGTCCTGCCGCCGCCTCGCCGTGCCGCGCTCGGACTGCGGCGGGGGAGGATGCCAAATCCCTTAACTTTTGGGGTGCCTGTCCCTTCAACCCCGGTCAGACCCTCTGTTCCTCTCGCACTCAGATTCTCCAGGCGCTCTGACTGTGCGCTTCGGCCGTGGTGCCGTGTTATTCATTCCCCTGGCACTGTCCACCCCCAGCACCTCACCGCTCCCCTCTCAAGGGCACTGACCCGATGCTGTCCCCAGCGTGGGGGCACTGCGTGGCTGCACCGGCTCTGATCACAGCCCCGTCACCGGGGAGGGGTCTGATCCTGTAACTTCAGCTCTTCACTCCTTAGTGCTGGGCAGTGCCACCCCTCTGTGACATTCCAGCTCTCCCTTATATGGCAAGTTTTGGAAGTCTCTCTTCAAACTTGTAGGGGTTTGGACACCCACCTGGGGTGAGGGGACATGGCCACTTTCTGCTCTGCTGAGACCCAGGAGGGAGGTGATCCAAGATGAGTGTGCTGAAGAGTGATGGAGTTGGCACTCTGGGTTTAAAACTCACTAATCAGGATGAGGAGAGTAGGGTAAAATAAATTCTGTGACTTAGAGTCCCTCTGAGGGTTCCATGAGAGGGACAGGATGATTTCTTCTGTGGGTTTGGTAACGTGAGCAGTTGAGTGCACCAGAAGTCTTCCTGCCTTTTTGAAGCCGTGTGCACATGGCTTTCATTCAGGCTCTTTCTTCACTGCCTACAAGTGAGCCTAATTGATAATCCTGTGGGGCGCAGCGCGGGGCCGTGTTCATTTCTCCGTCCAGCGCTCGCTGGGTGCGCAGGCAGCCGGCCAGGGCCGTGCCGGCTGTGCCACCGCGCTCCCAGAGCTCTGCCATCGCCTCCGTCTGTGGCGCCTTGGCAGCCAGCTCGCTCCGAGCCAGAGCCGCTGTGGCTGGCAGCGGCAGCGCTGTGGGGGCAGCGCCGCTGGCAGCAGCGGGGCGGCAGCGCTCGCTTGGCGTGTACCTGCGGAGAGCCGTGCGGGAGCCCACCCAGCGGTGCCCAGGGACAGCGGGGCTGTTCCACGCTGCTGGCACCGTGCACGCATGGACGGCGTGAGCGGGGGACCCTACTGCAGCCCCGCTGAATAAGGGTGCGAGTGTGAGCACACCCAAGTGCGTGTGTGTCTCTGTGTGCCCCAGGGAGGGGGAGGTTCTGTGTGCCTGGGTGTGTGCGTACAGGTGTGAGGTGTGGAGCTGAGGGGGTGCACAGGCATGCAGGGGTGTGTGCAGGCAGGTGTGTCCCATCGCGTGAGGTGCGTGTGTGCAGTTGTAGAGAGCGTGTTTGTGTGCATTCCCCCGCTCCGAGAGGCCGGGATCTGCACCCAGGCACAGACAAGAAACAGGCGATGTACGGGCAGTGTCTCACAAGTGCGGGGGTGCACATAGGTGTGAAAATACACGCAGGTGTGGGGGTGCGCATGTACCCATGGGTCAGGGATGATGCAAAACCACGCACATGGATGGGCAACACGCAGGGGATGCAGACCTACACTCACAGGTGGAGACACCCAGGTGCGAAGGGATGCGCGCACCCCCGCTAGTGCGGGGAGCGCGGATTCCCCGTCGGTGCCCGGAGCTGCAGGTGCGCTCCCCCCCAGCCCCCTCTGCTCCCCGCCCGCCCCTCCCCGTCCCGCCCCGCCCGCCCGGCGCCCCGAGGCTCGGCGGAGGGCGGCGGGCGGCCCGGGCGGGCGGAGGAAAAGGAAGCGGCCCCGGTGCTCCCCGCCCGCCGCCGCCGCGCGTCGCCGCAGCTGGGGCGCGGCGGGAGCAGAGCTCGGGCGCGGGGCGCTCGCACCGCTCCGCATCGCACGGACCTGCCGGCAGCCCCGGAGATGAGGAGAGTTTGCACGCTGCCCCTCTGGCTCTGGCTCGGCATTGTCTCGGAGGCAGGTGAGCTGCCGGGGCTGCGGGCTGCCCTGCCCGCTCTGATGCCCGCCCCGCACCTGCGGGCGCGCTGGGGACGGGGCCGCTCCGGTGGGACGGGACGGGACGGGACGGGACTCGGCGCCTCCGCCCGCGTGTCCCCCAGACCCGCAGGGACCTGCACTGCCCGCCGCGGCGTCCCTCACCAGGATGGGGATGTGCCGTGCCCTGGCGCTGCCCGTCCCGGGCTCCCATCCCCGGCGGGGACCGGCGCTCCCGGTCCCGGCGACACCGATCCCCGACGGGGGCCGGCCCAGTCCGCCCTGGGGTGCCCCGTCTCCGACGGGCACTGCCCGCCCCATCCCCAACCAGGACGCGCCGCGGTGCCCGCCCGGGTGTCCCCGACGGCGGTGACAGCGTACCCACAGCGACGGGACGGGACGGGAGGACCCTGCCGCGGTCCCCTGGGGCCCGGGGCCGTGGGGAGCCCCCGCCGTGCTCGTGCCGCGGATGTCTCGCTGCGAGTGGGGAGAAGCCCCACGGGACCCTCGCGGGAGGGATGCCGCTACGCGGGGACGCGCCCGGCTGGAGGCCAGTCCCGGCTGCGTTTATTTATTTTTTCACGCACAGTCATTAATTTGTGTGTGCCGGGGAGAGAGGCGCGAGGAGGCGGGGGTCCATGCAAGGCTGTCCAGCCTGCCTGTCCCAGCTCTGGTCTGCCTC